CCGTAAAATGTCGTTATTCGTTATAATATAAGCGTCCGTTACTCAGTCATTTTAAGCGCACTTTTTAAGACAATACTGCTCATCAACACTATCCTCAATGGCCACTTGGACAACAACATATATATATATATATATTAACACATTTGAAAAGAGGAGATTATTTTGTAGAAGATAAATATTAAATTGGGAATTTGAAAACAAGCAAATAGGATTGTAAAAAAAAGTAAGCAAACAAGGCTGGAGATACTGCAGACATTATTTACTCAAACTATTTTGGCTCTATGCTGTTACCTAGAGCTACATTTGGTGAACTCAAAATAGGTATTTGTAATTTGAGTAAAGTAATACTTGATATGATAGATAACTTTATACATTATAATGATAACATACATAGCTAGTAGCTAGCTAATACGGTTCATGATGATTTACTCTAGCTTTGACTGTTTGACCACATTACTTCGAGATGTAAAATGTTAATCTCTAGCTGGAGATTTTCACGAAAATTTGTTTGAGAATATAAGAAACATTTATAGTTTCTGTGTAACTAAATTTTCGATACATAATACATAGCAATGGGCACATGTATATCTAGACTATGTCATAACCCAAGCTAAGCGTGTATATAATTTTACCAGGATAAAAGCAGCCTTTTCAAATAAAACATGTACATCTAAAACATCGCTTTAAATAAACTTTCATGTCGTTTAAAGTAATTATTTTACGAATGTGTGTAATAAAATTTAATATTATATGTATTGATTTTTTTACTCATTCACTCCATACATGATATATGGGTTGGCTTCCTAAAGACATCGATTGTATACTGTACAAAGCATTTAATATTCGCATGTTACAGTCATCTAATGTTCATCTGTTACTGATTGGTAATTCCTGTTTCACCCTGTACTTAAGCTTTTTAAAGGAACATCAGATATTTCTAAGAAATATAACTTCAAGGGGTAATGATAAGATCGTTTATACTAGAATTATGATGTTTTTTTGTTTTTTTTTAGTTTATGTCAAATATAGAAGAAACAAATCGAATTAGGTTTGGGCGTAATACACCAAGATGTTTTTGTTGTAGTCTGGCCAGAGAATAATAATAAGAATAAACATTGCAAACGGGCCGTTTTGAGCGGATTTTCTCTTCCTTGTTTATAAGTCTAACATGCGTGCTTTTTTTTTGTTCATTTTTGTAAGTGTAAAGTCTTAGCAGTCAATAGTAAAAGTTGTAAAGTGTTGTTTAAGATGAATCTTTACTGTTTAAGGTGCATTTTGCCTGAAGTTCTTTTAAGGTTTTGTGTAATTCCTTACAACCCCTATTATGAACCACTATCGGGGTTCATGATAACAGCATTTACATACTAATCAAGGAAGTGCCAATATCTTAAACAGAATAAGTTAAATATAATTTAGTCAAATAGTCAAGAAAATGTTTAATATTTTTTACAGAAATGCATATAAGTTAGTCAATTAAACGAGTCTTCAACGGAAGTACGTATGAGTTAGTCAAGTAAATGTGTCTCCAACAGAAGCATGGATAAGTTAGTCAAGTAAGCCTGTTTTTAACAGAAGTACCTATAAATTAATTAAGTAAACGTGTATTCAACAGAAGAACATATAAGTTACTCAAGTAAACGGGTCTTTGACAGAAACACGTATAAATTAGTCAAGTAAACGTGTCTTCAACAGAAGGGCGTATAATTTAGTCAAGTAAACGTGTCTTCAACAGAAGAACATATAAGTTACTCAAGTAAACCGGTCTTCGACAGAAACACGTATAAGTTAGTCAAGCAAATTTGTCTTCAACAGAATAACGTATAAATTAGTCAAGTAAACGTGTCTTCAACAGAAGAACGTATAAATTAGTCAAGTAAACGTGTCTTCAACAGAAGGGCGCATAATTTAGTCAAAAAAACATTATTTAACAGCAAAGAAAAGAATGACACGTTTGATGATTTGAAAGTCTTGTGCACGTCTGTTGCCAGTCTCTGAAGTCAGCTCAAGATCAACAAAATTCGGCTCGCCCCACATTTCCTCAAATTCACGTTATGGTCAAGTAAGATTCTTTTTATACACAAAAGAAAAAACTATATTTAACAACGATGAAAAAAATTACAATAGCAGTATATGCACGTTAGTCAAGAAAACAGTATGCATTCCAAAGTAGTATATTTACACGTTATGCAGAGTAAAATTGCCCCCATCAGTAGCATATACGTACGTTAATCATAGGAGATTGTTTTCCAACAGATGCACGTACACTGGTTAGTCAAAAGAAGATTATCTTCATTAACATAATAGGCAGGATAGCCAGGAGAAGCTAATTTTCAATATCAGGCTAGACAAATTAGTCAGAAAAGATTATTTTCTACGTCAACACGCACGTATTCGTTCAGTAAAAATTGTCACGAAGAGCAGCATATACACGTTTCCCAACCAAATACATAAGTATTTAATTGTTTTCAAGTCGTGCATTTTTACAAACATTACGATATTCACCGGTTGATTATTTATCTGTAAAGACAGTCATGTTGTTTTGATATTTGTTAAATTCAAATCTGTAGGATAGATTATTAAACTAGGACAAAGTGATTGTGATTCATATTACATGAAGTCACGTAAACTGATATTTTTATGTTGTTTTTCTGTTTCTTTGTGGTTAAGCACAAGGCTGCACAATGGGCTATATGTGCTGTGCCCACCGTGGGCATCGAAAGTCGATTTGTAGCATTATAAGCCCCCAGACTTACCGCTGAGCCACCTGGGAGCATGTAGTATATCTGTTAATTACTTGTTTCTTCAGGTTTTGAATATGTCACAAATGCGTGTTTGTTGATGAATTTTAGGCAAAGCTACACGAGGGCTACCTGCGCTAGCCTTCCCTCATTTTGAAATGACAAGTTAGAAAGAAAGCAGTTATTCAACGACACCCACTGTTAACTCTTGGGCTTCTATTGTGACACCGAATAGGGGAGTTGATCGTCATTCTTACAATGCACCCACTGTCCTAAAGTGCAGAGCATGATTATTTCTGCGGTATAGGTGACCGCACAACTGAACTCCAGCTCCACAGTTCGTTACGCTAATCACTCGACCACGCCCGGCCTCACCGCAAATGCAAGCCAGTCAGATATAGACCTCGGTGGGTGTAAACAAGCATGTTTACTCAGCGCAAATCAGCATAGAAAGAAAAAGACTACTAGTCATTTAAAAGAAAACAACTTCCGCAATCTGTCGTCCACAAAAACATTTTGACCCGTGACATTATTTTTGATGGGAACAAGGCATTTTCGACAATAACAACAATTATGTGTTGAAATATATATATATTTAAGGAAAGTTTGATTGATCGGGAATATCCTTTTGTTCGCATGGTTATTTATTGTTTTTTTAAAGAAATTCTACAACTTAATCAATCGATCTCGATTGGTTACTTAGCAAAATTATAACTGTTCTTGAAAATCTGAGCAAAATGAAATAGAATATGTTCATCTACAATGTATATTTATATACATTTATTAACTGGAATATATTCATATACAATGTATATTTATATACATTTATTAATTGGAATATATTCATCTATAATGTATATTTATATACATTTATTAACTGGAATATATTCATATACAATGTATATTTATATACATTTATTAATTGGAATATATTCATCTATAATGTACATTTATATACATTTATTAACTGGAACATGTTCATCTACAATGTATATTTATATACATTTATCAACTGGAATATATTCATCATACAATGTATATTTATATACATTTATCAACTGGAATATGTTCATCTACAATGTATATTTATATACATTTATCAACTGGAATATATTCATCTACAATGTATATTTATATACAATTATCAAATGGAATATATTCATCTACAATGTACATTTATTAACTGGAATATGTTCATTGACAATTTATGTTTATATGAATTTATCAAATGGAATATATTCATCTACAATGTATATTTATATACATTTATCAAATGACACAAAAACACTGTCCTGTTAAATTCTATTGTTATGAAATATTTTAAGGCCTTGCTACGTATAATCTTCAAGCTTGTAAATAGTATTATACAGTCTGTTTATCATTATTTAAGTAACGCTAGGATACTTCATACTACAATGAGTTACACTAAATTATATTAAATCTTTTTGCAAAACAGTGGAAGTTATAATGATATACATTTCGTCTCGACCACTTTTATATCAGTCATATCCCAGATGGCTTGATGAGCGAAAGGGCTCGTCGGCACTGGATACAGAAGATATAGTTTGGTTGACATATTGTTACATTTTACTTAACTTTCATAAGTTATGATAATTACTAATGTAGTCTTCTCTCGTTGACGCTGTGGTCAACTGTTGTTCAAGTAACTGATGATATAAGTAGCGTCTCAACCAGTTCTATGTTCGTCGTTTCTCAACCACCTGATGCGCATTGGTATTGAGCGTAAAACCTCGTCGGTACTGAACATAGCAGGCATAGTGTGGTTGACATCTAATGTTATATTTTTCGTTACTTTATAAGTTTTTTATAATTCAAATTGTTAAGCCATATCCAAGTGTAAATAAGTATTTGTTTATTGAAAAGAAATGGTTGCTTTAATTCGTTTTTTAGTATTTATTTGTTGAAAATAAATTGTTGCTTTTATTCATTTTTAGTATTTATTTGTTGAAAAAAAATAGTTACTTTTATTCGTTTTTTAGTATTTATTTGTTGAAAAGAAATTGTTGCTTTTATTCATTTTTTAGTATTTATGATATTTGTTGAAAAGAAATTGTTACTTTTATTCATTTTTAGTATTTATTTGTTGAAAAGAAATTGTTGCTTTTATTCATTTTTAGTATTTATTTGTTGAAAAGAAACTGTTGCTTTTATTCATTTTTGTCATCATTTTCCACGAATCCATTCTACACAAAATGCATTGACAGTGAAGTCTGAAAAAACAAAAACAAATATATATATCACATTTAACACAGTCTTTAATACGGAATCGCAAGGGAGAATTTTTAATAACCCTAGAGGAAATTAGTGTTAACTTAAATATAAAAGAGGAAATTAGTTTTCTTTTACTTATTTATCTTCCATCAGGGGGTGCTGCCTTTAATACTTGTGCAACACAACCCACACTTACAAACAATCTTATAAGCAATAAAGATTGGAACGCGTGTTTTTGAAAATAATGTGGTTAGATAATGTACCTAAAAGTTGATACAAAAAACATGGTTATCTTTATTGTGATTTACCTATATCGCAAAAGTTTAGATAGTTTTAAGCTGTAGTTCAGTTTTGTTTTCATATCGATTTTAAAGTTTGATGGATGCCTTATCTAATACTAGCAATTAAATTTTATTGAATTATTCAGCAAAAATAAGTATTTTAGACGTAGCTAATACCGATACATTTTTATACAGATAATGTAAGATAATAAATGGTATAGAAGTGTCTCAGAGAACGTTAAACATGTGATTATCCATACGTTTGATATCACAGGAAGTTACGTAAAATTCAGTAGTAACGAGAACCCCCTCCTCATTCCCTAAGAGACATATACGAAAATTCCTCTGTGCTGATATATCCCGTTTCCACTGTGCCGAAGAAGTAGAAACAAGCGTAGGTCGGGTGTTGTATACATCGTGATCATGATAAATTATAATGGCTTAACATCGTCATGTTACATCACATCACCTGTGCTAAAACTGTTCTATTAACGTTGCAAGATCACAGAGAAATAAGCGTAGGTCTGGTGTTGTATGCATCGTGATCACGATAAATTATACGGGCTTAACATCATCATGCTACATCACATCATCTGTGATAAAACTATTCTATTAACGTTTCAAAACGACTCAGTAGGAATAATTCATTATACATACTCCGTGATTGATAAATATTATGTCATCATCCTTATCAAACTAAGTGCTTATCATCCAAATAGATCATATTATGTACAAACAGAAAAAAATATCCCCTAAATATCAGCTTTAATGTTTTAACACATGTGTAATTCAGTTTAATAAAATGTCCAAGGACATTTTTGCATTATGCCACCAAAACGGTAACTGAACACTGGCGTGATTTATTGGATCCCCATGTGATGGGTTTACAAATGCGTTTAAGTTGTGATCTTACAGAGATCTCGCTCAGCAGTCAAGATCACCACCACCATTGAAGGTTCAGGTAAATATATATACAAAGACAGGATAGAATTCAATACTTTGCTTCTCTCACAATTGCAGTTTACAAAACCTTGTATATTAGAGTCGTTTTCGTTATGGCTGGAGAGTTGATGGTATTAAAAGAGATCTGTACAGAAAGAGGAAACATATCAATTCATAAAATTGTGCTTTCTAGTTTTCGAGGACATATTAACTTATAGTTTGTACCGTAGCAAACTATGTATACGTAAACTTTATGGTTGAGCCTTAAAAACTTTTTTTTAATGAAAAAGAAAATCTGAAGAAGTCACGTCATTTTAAGCATATCAGTTCGGTTTTATTTGATAGTATTACTTTGTTGTTGAGTTGTTAGCTATATATATATGTGTGTCTACAGATATCTCAACGGTTATAGTAATTAAAGAAAAGAGAGCGTAACTCAACAGTATTTCTCTGTCTTGTACTTTATTATTTTTTAATTCGAAACAATTAAGCCAAAAACAAGAAAACGCATATACAAGACTGACGAATAAAACTGGTTGCAAGCCATAATATGATAATAATAAAACCTGCTCTGGTAAAGAAATATCTACGAAACTAGGACCCGAACATCAATGGGGATACAGTTCTCAAGCCAATATCTAAACTTACCATTCATCGTCTGCTGCCAGTTGTGGGGAGGTCGTTAGTTATTCCTAATAACATATAAAAACAACGAAAGTAAAATAATGTACTATATATTTATATAGGTTAAAATATAATTTTATTAAATTCAGTTATATATTATACGTAAAATCAGCGCAAGTGAATTATTTTCAACTCAAGACATTAAATTGTTTTATATGAGAAAAATGAAATTATAATTAGTTGTACTAAATTGCACTTCCTCGGAATTACCCTTTCTTCTATGTTTAGAATGTAGTTGCTTTTATTTGATAATATTTTTGCTTGTCCCCTGAACATGTTCACATATGTAAGTTCAACATATTCAACTGATGAAATTATCCATGTTATTTTCTGTCCTTTATATTTCACAACTGAAGATGTAGTGATACTTCGCTCATCTTCTGGCTAAGAGCTGATTTTCTTTTAGCTTAATGGCAAGAGATTCAAGCATTCTAAAGTGAAATTACTTCCGGGAATGGGGGATGACGCGGAACACACTGGAAGTAATCACAACATCAACTTCATTTAGAAAATGGTTGGCAGTACCACTGATATTAGTTTTAGCATCGCATCGTTCTTATATTCGACTACGGAGCATTCTAGTGGTTGATTCAATATATTAGCTGTTTCACCTCAGGAACGTGAACTCATATATCACTAGCAAGATATTCAATGAACGTTGTTTGTC